ACCTGTGGATCGTCTTACCTTTCCCCAGGACCAGGAAGGTCTGCAGAGAGAGACATAGTACAGACACACAGACAGGTTACAGAGAGACAGGTTACAGAGAGACAGGTTACAGAGAGACAGGTTACAGACAGACAAGTTACAGACAGACAGGTAACATTGAGAGACAAGTTACAGACAGACAGGTAACATTGAGAGACAGGTTCTGGAGAGACAGGTTACAGACAAACAGATTTCAGAGAGACAGACAGGTTCAATTAACGAGAGAGACCTTCTGTGATTGGTAGAATGGATCCAGCTCCTCCAATGGGGTGTTGAGAAACTCAGAGGGCGGGTCTCCATAGAAGAATGGGAGGGGCTTCCCAGCCTCCAGATCGTTGGCTCTCTGGGGCTGGTTGGTCCCTGCTTCCTGTCAATAAGAAAGCCAATCAGAGAGGAGGATTCATGTTTAACTCTTAAAATTCTAAAAACGTAACAAAGTCTTTCCTGCAAAGATAATCAGTCAATCAGAACGTGCGATACATTAAGTTTTATGATTTCTGATTTTCCTTGAACGCCTCACAGTCAGCACCTTCTCCAGGTTATAATGAATCCTTCTGCTCGCCTTTGGACAGGTGAAGGTGATATGTTTAGATTTAGTCCCTGAATCTGGAGTCTGACCTGAGCCTTGTTCTGGAGTCTGCACAGGTGAACCTTTCCCTGACCTGTGCCTTGTTCTGGAGTCTGCACAGGTGAACCTGTCCCTGGCCTGGCCTGAGCCTTGTTCTGGAGTCTGCACAAGTGAACCTGTCCCTGACCTGAGCCTTGTTCTGGAGTCTGCACAGGTGAACCTGTCCCTGGCCTGGCCTGAGCCTGGTTCTGGAGTCTGCACAAGTGAACCTGCCCCTGACCTGAGCCTTGTTCTGGAGTCAAACTTAATTTCACATTTAGAGCAGCTGGGTGCAGATCAGGTGATAGCTGCATTACCTTAAGATTATAAATTAGATTAATTTCCTGATTAATTTGATGGACCTGAGTCATATATATATATATATATATATATATATATATATATATATATATATATATATATATATATGTTTTTGACTGTTCCTCAGGTAGAGTCACAGAGAAGTCAGTTCAGGTGTTCCCCCTGGATCACGTATGAGTCCTCTTTGATTCACCATAAACAATCAAATCCTCCAACACAACAATCTGTGCAGAGCTGGCTCCACCATCTAATGAGATGGTAAACATGTTCTGAAAACCTGCTGAGCGTTTTTATAATAAGTGAGTTTTTAATTAAACCATCATTTATTTTAATCACTGATACACCTTTAGAGAGAGCAAATGCTTCCTGTGCTGAACAATAAAAAAAAACAAAAAAAACCCATAACAATTACAGTAATAATTTAAATAATAAGTCCTGTTTGTACCTGGTTGCTCTGGTCTCTCTCGTCCTCAGTGTCAGGGTGTCGTTTGCTCCCCTCCGCTGAGGTTGCTGTGAAGTGTCTGAACACCTCCGTACCCACAGGGGGCAGCAGAGAGGCCAGCCTGCCATCACCTAGCGCTGCCCGAATTCCAACGTCACCTAGCAACCGCTCCCTGTGGAGGGACGAGGGGAAGGCAGATCCTGGTGTTTACAATATGAACTAGAGAAATAACCATAGACCTGTAATACGACATAGACCTGAAACACAACGTAGAGCTGTAACACGAGATAGACCTGAAACACGACATAGACCTGAAACACGACATAGACCTGAAACACAACGTAGAGCTGTAACACGACATAGACCTGTAACACGAGATAGACTTGAAACACGACATAGACCTGTAACACGAGATAGACCTGTAACACGACGTAGACCTGTAACACGACATAGACCTGAAACACGAGATAGACCTGAAACACGACATAGACCTGAAACACAACGTAGAGCTGTAACACGACGTAGACCTGTAACACGACATAGACCTGAAACACAACGTAGAGCTGTAACACGACATAGACCTGTAACACGAGATAGACCTGTAACACGACGTAGACCTGAAACACCACATAGACCTGTAACACGACGTAGACGTGAAACACCACATAGACCTGAAACAGGACCTGAAACACCATATAGACCTGTAACACCACGTAAACCTGAAACAGGACCTGAAACACCACATAGACCTGAAACACAACGTAGACCTGTAACACCACATAGACCTGTAACACGAGATAGACCTGAAACACGACGTAGACCTGTAACACGAGATAGACCTGAAACACGACATAGACCTGAAACACGAGATAGACCTGAAACACGACATAGACCTGAAACACAACGTAGAGCTGTAACACGACATAGACCTGTAACACGAGATAGACTTGAAACACGACATAGACCTGAAACACCACATAGACCTATAACACGACGTAGACCTGAAACACCACATAGACCTGTAACACGACGTAGACCTGAAACACCACATAGACCTCAAACAGGACCTGAAACACCATTGTAGGTATCCACTGAATGAAGCCGTAGCTTGACGCTCCCAGAACTCCTCTCTTAAGTAATTTTCATCCAAAAAATCCACGGGACCAAATGATCAAAGTTTAAATGTTTACTTAAACTTAAATAAACAAAAAACAGATACAGGTTAGTCCAAAACTATACAAAAAGAGAGATGAGGAGAGAGAGGTCAAAAGACTGTGTGGCTCCACTCTCTACTAGTCCGAACTGAGCCCAATTAAGTCCACAAGCCCCTCCCCCTCCCAGATCCAATGAACAAAAAGTATTACATGCATCCATAAATTTAACATGATGAGCAATAAGGCTCCTACATTACCGGCCCCTAATTGTTATCAATGCCCTTGAAACAATTACTCAAAAACATTAGCTTAAATCAAAAGAGCCCACATGTTATGTTAAACTAAAGAAAACTTCTTGTTGTTCTTCGTCCCATCGAATACTTGGCTTAGGATCTAGTCCATTATCATCAACGCCTCATCCTAATTGAGGGCTTGGTTTCCAGCACAGATCAAGTTTCCTCAGTTTCTTGAAGAAGACAAAGCTTGGTTATTGGACGCCATAGCTCATTAGTCTTGGTCTTCACTTTCACCTGGCGAACAAGGCCTTTCTTGTCGGGCTGGGTTGTCACGATTCTTCCAAGTGGCCATGAATTTCTCGGTGAAGTGTCATCCACAATCAGCACCACATCACCGACACAGAAGTTTCTTCCAGGCGTGGAGCTGTGTCAGGTATTCCTTGCACCAGCGTTTCCAGAAGACATCCGCAAGATATTGGACCTGACTCCATCTGCGGTTAGCATACTGGTCGTCTTTGTTGAAAACACCTGGAGGTAACTCTGGATTAACCTTCAGTAACAACAGGTGGTTGGGTGTTAAAGCCTCTAAATCATTGAGGTCTGAAGATGCCTTTGTGATGGGCCTGCTGTTTATGACTGCCTCTGCTTCACACAGCAAGGTATGGAGACCTTCTTCATCAAGAACCTGTTCCTTCACTGTGATGTTAAGAACTTTTCTTACTGAGCGTATCAGCCGCTCCCAGCTTCCTCCATGGTGAGAACCAGAAGGAGGATTAAAGTGCCATTGGACACCCTTCTGTTGCAAGGTATCAGCGATCTTACTGGTGTTCCATTCTTTGATTGACTTCCTCAACTCACTGTCAGCCGACCGAAAGTTTGTTCCATTATCCGAGTACATCTCCTTGACTTGTCCTCTTCTTGCAAGGAATCTCCTGATCGCGTTGAGGCACGCATCTGTGTCAAGTGAAGATGCGACTTCCAGATGTACTGCTCGTATGGCGAGACACGTAAAGATAACACCATATCTCTTTATTTGCCCTCTTCCTCTTTTCACCAGGAATGGCCAAAGTAGTCAACACCTACTCTTGTGAATGGAGGATCGTCAGGCAGGACCCTGCATTCTGGTAGATCTGCCATGAGCTGCTTGCCAGTAGTTCCATGTAACCTTTTACAGGGACACACTTCGACAAGAACTTCCTGATGGCTCCATTCGCTCCAGGTATCCAGAATCTTTGACGCAATTGAGCCAACATGTGATTCCTTCCAGCATGAGCTGTTAAATCGTGAATGTGTCTTATCACAAGCTTTGTGATGTGTGAATCCTTTGGCAAGATGACTGGCTGCTTGCAATCATCAGGCATTGCCGCACGGCTCAACCTGCCTCCAACTCTAATGACTCCCTCTTGGAGTACTGGGTTCAACTTGTAGAGTGAACTGTTTTTCTTTACCCTGTGATGTTCTTTTAGCATTGTCAAATCTTCTTTGAAACTTTTCTTCTGACAGTACTTCACGACTTCAGTTTCTGCTTCATTTAAATCTTCACAGACTAGCTGTGTTCCTTTGAAAGCCTTTTGAACTGATTCACTCTGCTTTCACCATGTAATGTGTTTGTTTCTTTTCTCTTTGCTTTCAGTTCCTTAAGCAAATCTTTCAACTTAAGAAACCAGGCCACTGCACGCTTTAGATTTGTCCAAGATGAGTAGTAAGTCATCAATTGGTCCATCACATCTTTGGGCTCTTGCACTTGAATGACATGTGCTTGAGCCACTCTTTTGACCTCTGGGTCATCAACATCAAGCATTCCAGGGTCTGGATTCTTAGGCCACTGGTCTTGTATGCTGAGCAAGAAACTTGGGCCTGAAAGCCAGCAAGAATGCTTCCACAGTCTGTCCTCTTGACACGTGATCAGCAGGATTCAAGTTGGTATTAACATATCTCCACTGAGAGGTCTGAGAGTGATCCAAGATTGCTGAGATTCTGTTAGAAACGAAAGTCTTGCATCTTGTGCTTTCACTGTTCAAGTACTTTAGCACAGCCGTGCTGTCAGTCCAATAGATTGAGTCTTGAAGTTCAAGTTCGATTTCTTTCTTCAGAAGCTTGTCCATCTTGACTGAGACTGTGGCCGCAGTAAGTTCCATTCTTGGTATAGTTGGAGACTTCAAAGGTGCGACCCTTGCCTTAGCCATCACCAAGGTGCATTG